AAAATTATCCAACGAGTTACAGACCACTCTTTCCCCATGTAAGTCAATGGGAACAAGTGTTTCCGGGCCTGGCAACCAAACGGAAGTGTAGTACCGCCGTTTGGCCAGCACGAATATTTTCATCTGAGTCCGGCGCACTTCCTGGGGGCTTGGGCGGGACAGGCTGTGGCCGTTTCTCAATCTCGAGGATACTGGCTTCCAAGCCAATATTAGGATGCTACGTCATCGAGTGCTGCCGAAGGACTGTTCCAATCTCCAGCATACTTGGAATTCCACCGAGGCCGTGTCCTTGGTTTGGGGGAAATTTCGAGGCTGCACATGGGTAGACTTCGCGTCCTTCCCCACAATGCTTTGCGCACGGACCAATTTCAAAAACCCTTGCGGAGAATGGCTGAACTGACGCAGCACACATTTAAATGTAAGTATGTAGTGGCGTAGAACATGTGTTGGTAAATATGTTACTTTGTTACATTTGTTTGTTATCACCAAAAATGTGTTCCGTGAAAGTAAAGCAAGTTCATAATTAGATAGACAATTTAGGATTTTACAGAGAGGGTTATTTGTGAATAAACGACCCTCTGTAACGTTTGCATTCAACGGGAGCACTAGAGGCCGAAAACTTTAAAACGTAATTATAGCAGTGGCGAGCCGTGACTTTTATACCTAGGCCCTCTGACCCCCCTTCCCTCGAAACAACAACAATGTCATCACTATCACTGAAGTTGGCAGTTTGACACTGAAGCTTCGAACGGAGCTTCAACCCTGGACTTCCTATTCCATAGAAGCAGTGCTTCGAAGCTTGCTTCAAATCACGTGACATGTGACGTCCGAAGCAGCAACTGCTTCATTTCCTGAATGAATCACTTGACTGGTTCGCGGTCCATTCACGCGATTCAATGCACTGCCTCGTCTCGATTCTGACAGGTGACAGGTTGAAACAGTTTCAAATTTGAGCGCTTCAACACTTTATGACCGCTCTAAACAATGCGCAATGTGTGGGTTGTTGTCATAGTTTGCGTTGTTGCTGTTGAGTTGTTGTTGGTATTGCATTTGAATTGTAGTATCATTATAGAGCAAGCCAGGAAGAAAGATAGGTCGTTCTGGCTCGGGAACAAAAAGACAATTATCAGTAATATAAAAACAGTTCAATATTTCAAGGAATAGATAGCCCAGTGTGTAGAGCCGGGGGCCCGAATGCGGAGATGTCCTCCGTGCAGCTGGTTCAAAGCCCGGAATGGATGTATTTTAATCATTGCTTTTCAACTTTAATAACTGATAAAAGGCCCTCTCCTCCCAAAAAAATGTCCAGCACTCTCTAGTCTCTTCTCAATAACCCAATACACACAATTATCAATCTTTAATTGCAAATAGAACATGATATTCAGTCTTAGTGTGTGTGTGCATCGAATATTTTTCAAGGTAAAGATACGTTAAACCCACTGCAGCCTTGCATTTCGCCAGGAGAGGTCGCTGTAACTGAAGCTTCGAGAAATCAACCTATTTCCGACACAATTGTCCAAGTGGTTCGATGCTTCATTCAAAGCTTCATTTTGCCATCACTAACTGAAGTGAGCCATCATGAACGAACTTATGCTAATCTATCGATCATAAATCTATCGTTTAGATTTATGATTAGAAAATAATAAAAGTAGGATAGACATGTGGATATTATCCGGCTGAACAAAACGTGCATTTATCTAACAGGTTCGTTTTCCACAGACCTTATTTCGAGCTATTTTCCAAAATCCTCTGGAGAAATCCCACTGCTTTCTGTCGAGGGAATCCGAGCGAAGCTTACTTCCGGGTTTTAGGACGCGTCACTGCACCACTTGCATAGACCTCACAGCGGGCGGAACTTGTCATAAAGTCCGCGAAAATAAAGCCCGCCCATTTAGAGGGAAGATATGATTGGTCAATTGTACTGTCATTTGACATTACTCTCTCATTGAGTTACTGTAGCGGGCCCTCTGTGAATCTACAGAGGGACCAACAAGCCCTCCCGTCTTCACATAACTCGCAGAGACGGCATTTAACCCTTCACATTCCAACAGAAACTGAACAGGCAGATTCGAAGGATTTATTTATTTGGAAATATTATTTTAAATACAATTAAATCAAGGTATTTTGGTAAAACTAATGAAAAATGTAACAACAAAAAAATATAAAAAGAAATATTTAAAAAAAAATGTTATTTTTTTAATGTTTTCAAATATTATTTTTTAGAATATCTTAGGCCCTCACAGAGGGCCTAGAGGGCCCTGACGGCTCGCCACTGAATTATAGGTCGTATTAAGCGCTTGAACAAACGACATATTTGGTCGTAATAAGGGCTTGAACAATCGACCCATTTGGTCGTATGAGTTGGAGGACTTGTTGATAGATAGACATCGTGAGGTATTTATTTTCGGTACAGTTTATGTTGAAACCGTTAGAGAGAGTGGCACACTTGTTAGCCTGTTCCATTCTTCATCGTTTTCCGAAGCCGTGGCTTGGAAGTATACTTGCTTAGTTTCTGAAGGAAGTGACTTGGAAGTACGCGACTACCAAGCAAGTATCCTCGAGATTGAGAAACGGCCTGTGGGTGTTTTCTCAATGTCGAGTAAAGCTGCTCTATAGCCACTATGTCAAGCATACTACGTCATCGAGTGCCGCCGAAGGACTGTTTCCAAGTCCAGCATACTTGGAATTCTACCGAGCCCGGCGTACTTCGTAGCGAGAAAGTCTCGAGGCTGTATACTCCGCGGTCTTAAAATCCCCACAATGCTTTGCGCACGACCAATTTCCCCAAATCTTGGCGAGAATGTAAGGCGCACACAAACTCCTCCAGCCAGGCTGCGGATGTTGTGGTGTTTGTGTGTGTGTGTGTGTGTGTGTGTGTGTGTGTGTGTGTGTGTGTGTGTGTGTGTGTGGTGTGTGTGTTGTGTGTGTGTGTGTGTGTGTGTGTGTGTGTGTGTGTGTGTGTGTGTGTGTGTGTGTGTTGTGTGTGTGTGTGTGTGTGTGTGTTGTGTGTTGTGTGTTGTGTGCTGGTTTGGGCTGTGTTCTCTGTCTCCAGCGGCCCTGGGCTCATAGGGAGGGGGGGGGGGCATGGAGCTCCAACAAGCCGTTTAGGACAAGAGAGTGCATACACATACAGAGATGCTGTATGAGAAACCAATGTGATTTTGGAAAATTGCACAATAAAATCTATTTTAGTATACCTCAACCAATGGAATATGATCAGTAGAAATGGCCATGACATTGGACCTTTAAAAGTAGGCCTAGATCCAATTGGGGTGCCTTAGTTCAACCTGGTGGGGGACCACTAAAACATTACTTGTGTTTTAGATGGAGATGCTGAAAGTAACTTTAAAGCCAAAGTCTCTGCTCCATAGTTTCTCTTGGAATAAAATCACACTGTATATTTTACATTTATATATTCAGTTTAATATGTAATATTCCATCTGTCAAATACTCTTGTATATATAATACCTTGCTTTATATCTTGTTATTGTTAATTTGTAAATTCAACATATATATTTTCTACTTTCTTGTTTTTTTCTTGTCTTTTAATTTGTATACAATGCCATGTATTTTTATGCTGCTGCAACAAAACAAAAATCCCAAATTGGGATCAATAAAGTACTATCTTATCTTATCATATCTTATACTTTAAATGTACTCTGTTTACAGTCCATGTCACTGGGATTGACTAGAGAACAAGACATGTAAAATACTTAAATGCATAATTTCTCTATGTTCTTTACTGGACTGAGTAAACATGTCAGAATCAAACATTGGGCTTACTAATACTCTTGCTTTTGAACTGTGCAAGGCTGATATGCAGTGAAAAAAGGACATGTGACGATAACCACTGATCGACTTTCCCTTGTTGTAATGTTGTTTTTGATTGGTTACATGATTCTGACAGTGATGAGGCCTTGGTACAAGTATCTGCTGTGGGGTGATGACTGTCCTCAGTGAAGGTTGCTTTCCCCAACTCCTTTTCACCCTGACCCTGTGTTTTCTGACATCCTTGTAGAGAGAGATTTTGTAGTTATATTGGAAGAGAAAAAAATCCAAACTGCAAACTCCTGTTCATGATGAGTAACATCTTCTTTTTTTAAGGAATGCAAATCTAAATAAAGGCATACAATTGAACTTTAAAACTGTGTCACTATACTTTGATTGTTATTTGCAACCGGAAATGTCACATTAGATATCTTAACTTAAATAAATGTGTTGTTTGGAATATACAAACAATATTTATTTAACCTGAAGTATTTAGCTGTTTGAAATGATAATTATGTGTGAACTAAATGGTCATTTTATTTAAAAAGTAATTTTAAGTATACATTTGTTTTGAGTTACCTAAACTGAAATGTAAGTGTACTACACTAAATAAGCATGTTAGTGAAATAGCTAGATCACTTTAAAAGTAAAACAATTACCTGACTGACTTACCTTCCTTTACCACTTTTTGACAATTTTGAAATGTATAATTTGTTGTTTCCCATGTGTACCATTGTAAGTGCATTGGCACGTAGAAGACACCAGATGGAGCTCTTAGCGAGGCTGAGTTACAGCAGTGAATTCCTTAGCGGGTGTAAGATAACACTGAGAAAATACAACGTTGCCGTAATCTCTCAAAAGCATCTAAAACATACAAATGTCTATATGAAAACATAAATGAAAGACATATATTTGTATCTTTACCATTTACTTTTTTTTAATAGATTTTTAAATATGTATGATTGCAATCCTCCAGTTTCAGACGCATTGGTATTTTCCATACATTATAATTGTATTTGTATCTACTAGAATTTAGCACCATACTACAGCAAATCCCACTGTTGTAGTCAACTGCTGAGATGGAGGCGAATAAATTGTATTTAAACAAGTAGTAAAATAAACGCCTGTGTGATCACGCCTCATAGCCCCTAGATTTGGTTATTTATTGAGCGTCAGCCTTGATTTACTACATTTCCCACACTGCATTGCTGCGCAGCCGCTTCTTGTCACTGCTGTCGCGCTCTGCCCGCGGTGAATTGGTCCAGCATCCCTGCGCAGGCAGTGGGGCAAATGTAGATGTAAAAATATCATTAGAAAATATGTAATCGTGTGGAATAGGTTTTCGGCGTTGGCAGCTTGCGATGAGGGAAGGAAAACAGGGCAGATTGGATTTTGTGTTGCACCTCTGTGGAGCACGGACCGTTATATTGAGAGAAATAATGCGGAATATTTCCCCCAGTAGGTGTTAACGCAGAAAATTCAAGATGAAGAAGCAATTCAATCGGATGCGACAGCTCGCCAACCAAACGGTGGGAAGGTAAGCAAACCCTCTCCGTGCGCTATTCTAGCCGGGCCAAAGGGAAGAGACCCCCTGTTTGGCCCACATAGGATGTGAATCTCATCCATGCAGATATGATTTCTATTACATGTGATTAGGCTGATTATATGGAATAGACAATGGTCAGTACACTCGTTGAAATTCTCAAGAACAATAGAATTCCCCATGTTCATGTTGGTGCGTAATGTCCATTGCAGAGGCTACCGCATAGGCAGCGTGTAGGCGCATTGCCCCAATGCAACCTGCCCACGGAAATACATAAAATAGGCAAAAGACCATCGCATTACCAACATTACGCTGATACAACATCCTCTTTAAGACGAGATTTCCTGTTTCAAGTTGGTAAAACATGTAATTGTGAAGTTACGATGTGATTAAATGTACCTCCTGTCACCGAACCTGTCAATAGGTGAGCGTGATGCAGACTGATGCGGTGTGGGCTGCGACGTGAGGGAAACTGGGAAAAGGCGCAATGTTTTCATTACGCAGTAATATCAGCTGTGAGCAGGGAAGCACCTCGCTCTTAGGCGTGGGTTATCCAGTCCGTGCATTCCTGAAGGTCGTATTTCGCATCTGGTACTTATCTAACATACTTTTGCTTGAATAATGCGATTATATTAGCACCCTTTAAAAAAAAGAAAAAAGGAGGCTATCATGTCTCTATAGTTCCCTAAAACAGATCTATCTGAGGTTAATGTGGGAGGATTTTCCTTTCCTCTCCTCATCTCCTGTACCTGCCCTGCATCTGTGGTCCTGAGTTCCCCTGCCACCTACAGAAATAGATGCGACCTTTTACACAGGTCTTATGCGTTTATCACTCTCCCCCCACCCTGTTCGTTCACCTCACAGGGAGGCAGAGCAGCTTGTGAAGCAGCACTGAGCCAGAGGGTGTTCTCTGCTGAGTGTACAGGGGGGGGGATTAGGAGCAGGAGGTTTGGGTCATTATTATTACAAGGCTGTGTGACTTGCATGCACTCCGAAGGCTAGGAGGGAGGCGACACACCTTGCTGCCTCTGTTTGGGCTATCATTGTCAGCTGGTTCAGGCTGCTTTATCTAGCTCCATTCTTTTTTTAAATAAATGTTCTGTATGACTCATTATAATGTGTGTGGGTTTGATTCTGGATATGTGTGTGGGAAGACACGGTGTTCATGTTAGCAGAGAAGGCAGTTCTTCCTTGCATGTGTTTGTGTATGTATGCACTTATAGCCCTATTTCCATGAACATCCCACATGTACTGAAAGCCATTGCTGTTATGAATATAATATCACTCTCACTCTGTTCTTTTAAGAGATGCAACAGCGAGCTGTTGAGGGGATCTGCCTGTGAGATAATAATCACCAGCAGCATTATGGAGTCAAGATTTTCATTTCTAAACCCTAACTGTGGGAATTCACAGTTATCCACAGTGAGGAACAAAGGGGGTGAAACAACAGTTCATTTGAGTGTTGGATTGTGGCAAGAAGTATCAGATCTGACCCGGTGACCTTGAGCAGTGTCAAACATTGGTGGTGTCACAGGGAAAGATGTTTAAAAAGAAAAGCCAAAGCTGTGCCATAGAAACCTCTGCTGGTTAGTTAAATGAAGCCACAGTTTTCCTGGTATATTTGCGACATAGTATATCGTTGCTGAAACTAACAATTCTGCATCCACATGTGCAAAAATGACACACAATTATGGTATAATAATGTGCTCTTCAAAAACTATGCTGTGCTTGTTCTTTGTCATCTCATCTTGCATTTATTTGAAGACTATCTTCAAATGTAAGACACGTTCCCCTCTTTCGATAAATCGAAGCAGTTCAAGAGGTGCTTTACGTTTTGAAATGGCTGTTTCTTATGTTTTCGCCTGAAACCAACAAGGGCGATAATATCCCTTGATAGTACCACCCACAAAGGAGATTTATGTGAGTGTGTGTTTGCATATATAATGTAATGACAGTGTGTTTAGATCCACACACATTCCATGGTGTGTTAGTGCAGGATCAGCAGGCAGGGGTCGGACAAATGTGTGTAAGTGCAAATTAATGAGGCATTTTATGTAAACATTCAGCAAGCATTCCTATCATGCTACTACTACTACATTTATTTTCCAGGAGGAAGAAAATGCCCTCGTGTTTTTAATCATTACTTAAACCGTCCCATGGGGAGATTGTGTTTAACTGTGGCTTTGGGTTTCAACTTTAACTGTATTTTTATCCTCTGGTCCATAATTGTTCATTAATGGTTTCACTTACGCTCCATTTGTTCTCACTGAGGCTTCAGATAATGTATAGATCCTTCTGCTGACTCAGCCTCACCCATCTTGGGAGTAGAACAGGGGGTTACCCTGTTGGTTAGAGCGTTTGACCCCCCTGAACCTCAGCAGTCTCAGTGCTCAGAGCTGGTAATAACGCTGACCAGTCCTCCTCGCCTTTCAAAACAATTCAACAAGACAAAACTGTCCATGTTGGAAATGCTTTGATAAGAAGAATCTGTTTGTATTAGCAGACGTGTGTCTCTGTTATGAGGTAACAAATAGGACCGTAGTCTTTTAATCTACTCAGGCATGTATTATCACGTCTTAAATGGTGTCCTACCGCATTGACAACATTACCATGAGTCTCTTTTATGTGTGTCTTCTATATGTGATGGAGATTGAAGGTCTTTTCTAGTGGGGGGTTGACGATCAAGTTTGCTGTGTCAGCATCTCTCTGGCTCTCCGGGGCTGATGCTGCTCGCCTGGGTGAGATCCATGTCATGTGACCACCAGCTTGACCAATCGCCTCCGTGAAGCAAGACTCCATACTGGAGGATGTGCAGCCATGCATACTCTATAGCTAAAAGAAATGTGTTATGGCACAGTAAGAGACAACAGAGTGTAACAGCTCTGTGAAGAGAGAGGTCTTGGGCTTCTGTTTGTGTGCATTTTGTTAGATCTTTGTGAATTAAAGCTATCATTGTTGGTAGTTCAATAATTGGGTTTGTCTTAAATATTCATTGAATTGTTTTTCCAATGCCTTCATACACACCAAACAAACCAGGAAATGGGTGCTTTGTTCCAGCCAGCTCCCACCCTCCATTTCTCTTGACCTATTTATCTATTCCCGACTCACTGCCCTATCTAGGTCTAGGACAGCCTGATATAAAGATCCCTTTAAGAAGTCTCTACATCTGTCAGTGATTTTTACACATGAAAGAAAGGGGAAGAGCACACTTAAAAGGGGAGCCATTGTCTCTGGCATTTACCTTCTGACAAATGAACATCCATTCTCCCACTCCGCACACTCACCTGTGTGATTTTCACCAGTACCACTAGTGTATGATAATAGCATTCTTCCTGCTCATACCTTTAGGTTTCAGCTCCTCATCCACTCTGCATTCATCAGAAAATGGCAGCTATTTGTGGGCTGGCAGATGGGTTAAAAAGGATTTCTCTCTCTCCCGCATTGTCTCACTCTTCCTCCCTTTCCCTTCCATCTGACTATGTGACGCAGTATAGGTGAATGTGTTGCCAATAAGCTTGCATGCCGGCCTCTCATAGAATCTAAGTGTCCATACAAAGTAGTTATATGAGTGGGTGGGATGATGGAAAGAGGAAAAGGACACATAGCAAACATGTGTGTGCATGTTTATGTACACTTAAGTGGGACGTTTGCATTTAAATGTGTATGCACTTAGGTACGTGTAGTACTCCTTCACTCTCATGTTAGCTCAAAGACAGAAAATAAAGATTAATCTTCTAATCTTGTCAACACATTTCTGTATGAACGTCTTTTCTTGTTGTTCCATTGAGCATAGCATTAACATATGCACCTCATGGCAAGAATGTGTGTCACCCTCTAAACGAGCATATGGTAGCTGACAGGTAACATGAGATGTAGGAGGTATCCCTGTTGAATGCCAATGCAGCATCTCATTCTCATCCTCTTCCTCCTCCACCTTGTAGCCTTGAATCGCTGGCGTTGCAAATGACGACAACACTGTGGAGATCTCGGAGCGAGTGGCCTTCACAGAGCTGCTTTTCTGGGTTTACTTTAGTATAGTTTCTGGCTGATTTATACTTTAATGGAACACTTTCAGCATGCAGTTGAACAAGACAAAGCCCATCCGGGGCAAGAGTTTTATGTATTTCTGAGGCAGTATTAATCACAAATCAGATATTACTTGTGTCATTGTATCTTTTATTTTAACCAAGACCATTGCTAAATTGTAGAGTCATTCAGTGATAGTGTCAGAGGTCTTTGTTGATAACTTACCCAAAACCCTGTCAGTGCCTCTCACAGACAGCATATTACAGGATTGAATTAGTGATAGAGCCTTTGTCAGGGGGCCATTTTAGCCATCAAAAGAGAGATGATGTAATATCTGACAGAAGCCCTGTTTCTCCCTTTCTGTCACTCATTCAATCAAAGGACTAACCTCTTAAAGAGCCCCTGTACTGGTAGTCAACTCCAAAATCGGCAAAAGTGAATTGTGCATGTTTGTAATATGATAAACAGCATGGCACACACTGATTTTGTTTTTGATATTTGATTTTGTTGTGTTACAGATGTCGGGGTTGACCTAGTCTGCTGCTCATAATGTCACCTACTGTAGAGCCTGACTGAAATGCAGCAATTGAACCAGATGCCATTCAATCTGCAATGCATTCAGGAGCAAGGCAGCATCTAAAGAGTGTATACATTTACATGTATTATTAGTTTTCCTTTTGATAAATAAATCCAATAATAATACACTTGCTGGTGAGGTAGCTTTATATTTTTTCTTCACCAAAAGAAACATTTTATTAGTATAAAAGCAGTGTTATATAGAGCTGTAAGAGTACTCAGAAATAGGTCATTAGTGAGACATCAGAATGTTATTCGCATAGTGTTTTGTGCTCTGCTTATACTGTAAGGCTTATTATTTCTGTTCTGTACAACCCGAGGCCTTCATTCGGTAAACTGCTGCATTATACACTGCAGTAAGAGAGTGGCATTGTTGTTAGAAATAACTAAGT